CCCTCCCCTAGTTTCCTGGCTCCTAAGACCCCACCACTGCCCCTGACCTCCACCATGTCTGCTCTGAGTCAGCGAGTGAGCTGGTGTCAGCCTCTAACCCTGGCTTGGGTGTTGGGACCAGATGTCAGGACCCTCATTTCCTGGCAGTTACAGCTCTCAGGCCTGGGGTGTCTGGGCTCCTCCACACTTCAATCCTGTCACTCTCTGGAGCTCCCAGGTTGGCTGGGAAGGTTCTTTAGGCTCAGCTCTCTGCTCTTTCTTCCCACTCCCCAGCACCTGGGCTGCCTGTCGTCCCTGCCCTTGATGCTCTCTGAAACTCTTCCCACCATTTATTAGTTTATTAGTGATAAAGACTTAAAACAAAGTGAAAACCAGGTCAAGGCTGCAGAGAGTAGCTTTTCCCTCTCTTTGGTTTTTCGAGACAGGGTTTCTCTGTGTAGCCTTGGCTGTCCTGGACTCACTGTATAGACCAGGCCGGTCTTGAACTCACAGAGATCCAGCTGCCTCTGCCTCCCAGAGTGCTGGGATTACAGGTGTGAACCACTGTGCCCGGTTGGTTGAGAGCAGCTGTTTCTTGGTTCTAAAGTTGTACCACCAGGGGGAAGCGTCTCCAGACTGACTCAAAAAGTGGGCTACCTGGCCAGTTTACACAACTGGAAAGGAGGTTGCTTAAGGGTGTTGCAACTAACCCAAGGCATTGGCTGAGCCATGGGGAGTGATGGGTGTGTGTGTGTGTGTGTGTGTGTGTGTGTGTAATACTCCCTCTCTGAGCTAGCTATACACTTTACCAAGGCTGCCTGTGGCAGAAAGATCCAGGTTGAGCTTTCTTAACCGACCCTAGCTGGGGGAGGCCTACGGAAACCAGAGTCATGATTCAGCAGCAAGTGGCTGTGGTTACTGTCTAGTTTCCTTGTGGTGTCGTGGCTCATCCAGAGAAGCTGGGCGCTCCTGATAGTTAGTTGCCCAGCTGGCTGCTTGCTGGAGAATCTTCTATACAAGGTAGCCAGGCCCCAGGTAAGGGTCTTACAGCTGTCGAGCATGCCTGACCTCCAACATCTTAGCATATTTATTGGAAAAATAAACATCGAAACTAGTACATATGGGCTTGTGAGACCACTCAGAGGGCAAGGATGCTTGATGCCCAGTCTGGTGACTTTAGTTTGGTCCCTGAGCTCCACTCGTGGAGACAGAGAACTGAATTCTGCAAGTTGTCCCCAACTTCCAGGTATGTGCTGTAGCTTGCACATAAATGCACAGTGAATAAATAATACAAATAAATAATAAAATGTAACAAAAAACAAGCTTACGATGAAGTCCCGCCGTTGACCTTAACTGAACGCACTCAAAAAACCTTAGAGAGGGCTGAGTGGTGGCGGTGCACGCCTTTGACCCCAGCACTCCAGGAAGCAGAGGCAGGCTCTGTGAGTTCGGGGCTGGCCTGGTCTACATAAGGGAGTCTCGGACAGCCAAGGCTACTTAAGTTTATACATATTTGCGAAAATGTAGCAGTGGTACCTAGTGACAGGAGGAATCCCAGGGCAGCACCTGCATTTGGAGGGCAGCGGCTTTTCTGGGTTTTCTCCTGAAGGAGCAGGAACACAGAGCACATGGTATGTGCTTTCAAATCTCCTTCCCCTCACCCTGCCTTTTTGTGTGTGAGTGAGCAGGTTCTCACTGCATGAGACAGCCTTGTCTGGGCTGGCTTGGAACTCACTGTTTAGACCAGACTGGCCATGAACTCACAGAGATCAGTCTTCTTCGGCCTCCTGAGTGCTAGGATTAAAGGTGTGTGCCTCTATGCCCTGGCCCCAGCTGGTTTATGAAGATAGGCAAGAAGGTTCAGAGGCTAGAGGTGCTTGCATACAAACCTGACAACTTGAATTACATCCCAGAGGCCACAAGGTGGCAGAAGAAAACCGACTCCTAAGAGTGTCAGCTGATTTCTACACATGAGCTGTGTCATGCGTGTGTGTGTGTGTGTGTGTGTGTGTGTGTGTGTGTGTGTGTGTGTG